AATATGGGAACTTGCTTTCAGGCCAGGCTAGCCACAAACTCAGGATTTAACCTCACAAATATTAGTGATGTGGGTTAAAACCAATTTCAGCTTTTAGTGAGTTTAGCTCAGTAGTTAGGGTGCCAAGTAACTAATGATCATCAAAGCCGCTGGCTTTGGAGTTCTTTGCCTTATTCCCAAGAAGAATGAGGAAATGTGGCCAAGAGTGAGAGGTGTGAAGGTAGATATATTAAGAAAACATGGCACAGAGTTGCCCAAAGTAGACGCTCCAAGGGAGGAATACCAGAAATGCCATCTTGCTGTCTTGCCCAGTGGTCTTTAGAGGGTGTGGGGGACGCACAGCCAGAATTGCCTACTGAGGTCATCACTATTGAAGTACATCGTTGACCAAGCCCGTAAAGGGTCCATACACTTTACGCAGGCTCCCAACCAGCAGAGTAACTATGTGTCACTCATTCAATCAGGGGGTGATCACGTGCTTGGTGACTCACTCACAAGCCACCACTCCCTTGCCTAAGGGAAGTGTAACTACTGTCTCACTAGGATTTCAGGAGTGGCTCCATACCTGGCTAACTTTATTCGTTTTTTAGCAGTTCTATTGTAATTGCATCTTTTAGGTCTAGTTTTGACCACACTTCTGTCTGGGCAGTAGTTTCTATGCTAGTCTAAAAGATGGTTGTGACAAACCTTCTTTGATAGACAGACATATAGAAACACCTATGTTCCAACACCAGTTTTGGCTCAGCACTCCGATGATAAGTAAGCTCCAAATGTCTCTAAAGTGAGGGCTCTCAAGTTTGAGCCTGTACCTGAGGAACTTGTTAAAACAGATCACGGGCCACAACCCAAGTCCCACAGTTTCTGGTTAGATGCGTCTGGGGCAGGGGCCAGTTTCTGTAGTCACTGCTAAATCAAGAATAACCCTTTTCACTTACACAGTGGTGGTGGCACACGCCTTTAACCCCAGCACTTGGGAGGCCGAGGCAGGTGGATCTCTGTGAGTTTGAGGCCAGCGTGGTCTACAAATCCAGTTCCAGGACAGCCAGGACTACACAGAAAAACTCTGTCTCAAAAAAATAAAAAAGAAAGAAAGAAAGCCACTGCTCTTAGGCATTGCAAGAAATCTGTGCCCTTCAATCATAAGCAACCTGCCTGGTTTCAGGGCGCAGCCCACCAGCTAACTGCCCAGGAGGGAATGGAGGAAATGTGCTCTTGTGCTGGTCTGTGGGTGGAATATTGATGGCTCCCAGATGGTTTATGCTGAGAGCTAGAGCTCTAATAGGAGGGGTGTCCTTTTAGGAAAAGGTTGGTGATGAGGGCTGCAGTGATGGGGTAACTGCCTTTACAAGAGAGTCTGTGAGGAGCAATGTGTAAAAAGTGACAGACACCGGGTTTGCTTGCTGGTAGACTTCTCAACATCTACAACGTCTTTCTAGGGTGAATGGGGCATTAGATAGAGTCTCATACTCTAGCCCTTGCTAGCCTTGAACTCATTACTCAGTCTAGTCTTGTCTCATGGCATTTCTGCTGCCTCTTAACTGCTGGAATTATAGACATGAGCCACCATCCAATCCTTAAAGTAGTGATGAATAGTTCCTATCATTTATAAATTACCCAGTGCACAAGACCCTCTTTAATATCCTTCCAAAATAAGAGAAACCGTCCAAGTGGTAAGACTATGCCATTTCTGATATGATGCAGAGAAGCCATGTCATTTGTGTAAACTTTGTTATCTGAGACAGGGTCTCTTTGTATAGCCCTGGCTGTCCTGAAACTCATCCTGTAGACCAGGCTGACCTCAAACTCAGACATCCACCTGCCTCTGCCTCCAGAGTGCTGGGGTTAAATGGGTGCGTCACCATGACGGGTCTCATATTAATAAACTTTGATTTTGTCCGGTTGACCAGTGTTGGAGTAGGGGAGCTTAGGTTCTCACTGTGGCTAATCACAGTCTATTCCTACATGGTCACTCTTCATCTAGCACCAGGAGACCCAGGGATCTGGTTTCTAAATGCTGTGATTTGAAGATAGTCTGTATATTCCTCCCCTACCCTGCCCCCACTCTTCATGGATTGAAACTTAACCCCCACTGTGAGGTGCTCAGAGACTGGAAATTTAATCCGACTGTTGGATTTAGAGATGGGGCTTTGGAAACTGGTTAGAGCTTAGGCCATTAGAACAAAGCCCATATGAACGGATGCTGATGACTTTAGGAGAGAGAGAAACACGTGTGTGAGTGCTCCCTGTCTCCTGCAATGCTCAGCACCACTCTGAGATGCCACCAACAAGAAAGCCATCACCAGATGGGGGCTCTAGACCTCAGGCTTCCAAAACTGTGAACTAAAATAAACATATTTCTTTATTAAAAAAAAAAGCCTGTCTCCGGTTTTTCATTATAGTTATAAAAAGGAGATTAATAAACTGACCTTAACTGTTTCGATTCCTTCGGGTGTATGTGTATGTGAATCAAATGTAAAATGAGGTATTCGAAGTTGACATTTGGAGGGAAGGATTAGAGAATAAGAAAATTCACTGCCCAAGCATGGGAATCTCAGTTCAGATCCCAGAACATGTTTAAAGATAAGTGCTGATGCCCATGCTTGTAACCCCAGCACTGTGAGGGTGCAGACAGGAGGATCACCAGGACATACTGGCTGCCAATCTAGTCCAGCTTCAGTGAAAGATTCTGTGTTGGGGAATACACCAGAGAGTGATAAAGCAGGACAGTTGATGTCCTCTGCCTCTGCACACCCACAGGGGTACACACGCCCCACACATGCTCATACAAGACACGAGAGAGAGAGAGAGAGAGAGAGAGAGAGAGAGAGAGAGAGAGAGAGAAATCAGATTTTAAAAAATAAAATATATAACTTTCTATATTTTATTTAAACAACTACAATTCTGGGAGTCTAAAGATTGAAATAAAGGACGATCTCCCTCATCCACAGCTATGGCGGAGTCTGAAGTAAGGAAGATCTCCCTCATCCACAGCTATGGTGGAGTCTGATATGGTTCTGTGAGTAAAGAAACTGATGCTTTACCATTTCCAAATACACTCAGCAATTGTTCCTCTTTTATTAAAGACAGTCAAAACAAGATAGCTGTTTGTAAATATGTCTCATTAAGCCTGACCTGAGAATTCACACACGTTGTATTTAGAAGGATATCATGATCAGTAGAGATTGTCTCCAATTAGCTCTGCTAGACTCTTCCATAAGGAAGTTCAGAGTTGACTTTCAAGAGCCTTTTGAAACTGGAAAACCAGGCCAAGGGTTCTCCATCACCCTCCCCTGCGGCACCTGCTGAATTCCTCTCCTCTTGGGGTCCTTGAGATAATTTGAATTCTTGTGCATGCCAAAAGGAGGTGTTCTTTATTGTAAGGCAACTCTATAAACTAAATATTCAGGGTTACAAAGCAAATTATTCCAAGGGATTTTAACCGACACCATGAGGTCAAATTCAGTTCCCTAAAGTTAGCTAGTCACGTTTGAGACTGTGTCTGCTAGTCCAGCTTTGGTGGTAGAGCCAGCATTTCCACCTGGCTCTTGTTAGGAAAAAAAGCAAAAACAAAAACCGAAAAGTGCTAATTTCATTTTTGAAATAACTACATTTTTATGAACTTTGCCAGAAATGTACAGATTTTGGAGGGATCATTTGTGGGAGGGAGCAAAGGTTTGAATTCTGCTCTCTGAATCTAATGCTCCAAAATTGATGTAGACTGTGGACAGTTGTCAGAACAGTAAAATTTCCATAAGCCTGGGAAAGAAAACTAACAAAATCAATGTTTCGAACAAAAATCACGTTGCTAAAGATCCTAACACTTCATCGGTTCAGCCCCACAGGAGTGCAAATGCCCCCATAGCTCATATATGTGAATGCTTAGTCTTTAGGGATTCAGGGAATGGCACTACTGTGGCCTTGTAGGAGGAAGTGTGTTTCTAGGGATGGGCCTTGAGGTTTCAAAAGTCCATGCTAGGCCCAGTTTCTCCCCTGCCTGCTATCCACAAGTCAGGATACAAAGCTCTCAGTTTCCACCGCTCCAATGTCGTGCCTGTGTGTTTCCCGCCATGATGATCATGGACTAACCCTCTGAAACTGTAAGCCTCCAGTTAAAACCTGTCTGTTCTAAGAGTTGTCTTGGGCATGGTGTGTCTCCACAGCAACGAAACAGTAACTAAGACAATGATCCCAAAAGCTTTCACAGTGGAAATAAAATCACTCTCTGTGGATGACCGAGCCTTAGAACAGCATGGGCTAGGCAGTCAGATGGCAGTCTACTATGACCAGCAATTTATAGGAGCATCTGACTGTGTCTGTGGTACACTTATTAATACAGCAGCCAGGAACTGTGACTCGCAATGTGCATGAAGATGCTCTAGACTGTTGTGAAACTCATGCAGGTTTAGAACACATATGTCTAACATGTTCATGTAATTGTGACTCAATGTCTTATTTGGTAATGCTTCTCACAAAAGTTAACCTTTCAAATGAGCCTAGTTAGTTTAATATATTCCTTTTCAATTTTAGGAGCTCAGTGAAAGTCCCAAAAACAAAAACCAAAACCAAAACAATATAATAATTTAGAATTTAATTTGGGGCCAAGTTGTGGTGGTGCACACCTTTAATCCTAGTACTCAGGAGGCAGAGGCAAGTAAATCTTTGTGAGCTCGAGGCCAGACTGGTCTACAAAGTGAATTCCAGGACAGTCAGGGCTACAGAGAAACCCTGTCTTGAAAAACAAAAACAAACAAACAAAAAACTAAATGAAATCTTTTTTCTTTTTTCCAGACAGGGTCTTTCTGTGTAGCCCTGGCTATCCTGGAAATCACTTTGTAGACCAACCTGGCCTCAAACTCACAGGGATTTGCCTGGCTTCTTATTGATTAGCTCTTATTTAAACAGAAAAGGGAAAATGGTGTGGGAAATCCCTCTGTGTTTGTGCTGCTTTTATTGCTTAATCTGCTTTAGGTCAATGGCTTAACAGAACGTAGCCAGACTGAAAGAGAGATACACATAGAGAGAGAGTAGGCAGAGTCAGTGAGAAGCCATCTAGCCGCCCACAGAAGACAGGCATACCGAAACTTTCCAGGTAAGCAGCAGCCACGTGGCAATACACAGATTACTAGAAATGGGTTAATTTAAGATGTAAGAGTTAGCCAAAAATACACTTAAGCTATTGGCCAAACAATATTGCAATTAATTTTTGTGATTATTTCTGTGTGATTATTTTGAGTCAGGATAGCGGGAAACAAACTAGCAGCCTCTGCCAACAATTCTGGTTAAATAAATGCTATTCCACAGTAATCTTCAAATTGTTTTTATCACATTTTAGTGTGTGTGTGTGTGTGTGTGTGTGTGTGTGTGTGTACACAACTTGTGAGAATTGGCTCCTTTTTTCCACTATACAGGACTGAACTCAGGTTGTCAGTTTTGGCATCAAGGGCCTTTGTACCCTGTACCAAGTCACAGGCTCCCTCAGTAACCTTTTTATAAAATGTTTTAACTTTTTGGTTTATTTGACAAATTCCCTCAAATTAATTATTGTTCCTATTATTATTATTATTATTATACAAGGTTTCTCTGTGTAGCCCTGGCCATCCTGGAACTCACTCTGTAGACCAGGCTGGCCTTGAACTCAAAGATCTGCCTGCTTCTGCCTCCCAAGCACTGAGATCAAAGGCAGGGTCCACCACTGCCCTGCAATTAAAAGACTTTAAAAGCAAATATAGGGCATCACATAATTGTAGAAAATCAACTTATAAATTGTTTTATTATTAAATTTTGTTAGGTAATCAAAAACCTAATAAAGAAAAACAAAACACAAAAAGTTACTACTTGTGAATAGGTGTGTGTGAATGTGTGTGTGTGTTGTGGTACTCACCTGTGTGTGCAGGTGCACATCTGTGTGTCAGTGTGCTCACAGGTAGGCAAGAGGAAGAGATCAGCCTCCTTCCACCCCTCAGATGAACTCTGTGTGTGTGCGCGCGCGCGCACATGTACACGTGTGTGTGTGTGTGTGTGTGTGTGTGTGTGTGTGTGTGTGTGTGTGTATGTGCATGCCATGACGCTTGTTCTTTCTGCCAGGCTAGCTGGCCAGCAGACAGACTCCTGGGATCTTCCTGACTGTCACCCCCAGCACAGCCATGCCTAGCTTATTCATGTGGTTTCTGGGAATGAATAAGCAAACAAGTGCTCTCACCCACCGAGCAACCTAGCCCCAGAAAAATTAGCTGGATGGAACACAGAATCTATCATCTTTAATATTACTTTCTTTTTCTTTTTTTATTCCTTATTAATTTGCTCACACAATGAATTCGAACCTTTTACTAGCTCTTATCAGTACTATTTTAAAATAATTTCTAACAGAGAAGACCAAGTAAGGCAAGCTGATCGTCCTGGCTACTCAGGAGCCTGGCGCAGACAACACAGTGAGTTGCAGACTTATAATTCCAGCAATTCAGAGTACTGAGGCAGGAAAATCACAAGTTCAAGGCCTGCCTGAGCTACAGAATGAGTACAGACTGGTCCAGGAAGCATAATGAGATCCTGTCCCAAAACAAAAAGTGGAAAAAAGGACCGGGAGATTACTCAGAGGCCAAGCACTTACCTGGTGTGTTTCAGGCACACCCACTAGGGAAGCAAGAGCACAACACCAAACTCCAGCTCCGTGTCAGTGCTCTTTGTATATTGAGGGTCATTTTAAGAAGAGTTTATAAAGTATTTCCTTGTAAACTCAGGTGGATCACACACGAACTTCCTACACGAGGCTACACCACTGTAAATGCTCCAAGTTTAGCATCGAATCTGTACTGGTTTTCTTCGTTTATTCATTTTAAAGCAAGCCTTAAGAAATCTTTACCTAGACAAAACTACTGTCCTAAATAAAAGACATATTCTTATGTATTCTTTATATTTTTCTTCAAGATCTCTTATTTTCTTTGGATCTTCGCATACTGAAACATTTTTCCCATTTCTATTAAATTTAATTACAAGTATAAGATTTTTTTAAAGCCAGATAATCCCAACTTTTGGCAGAAATCTAAGTAGTGAGCAGTTCTGAACTGTCATGGACCAGCAGTTTGGGTGACGATGATGCTGGTGATGACAGATTTTGAGCTGCAGTGGGCTGTGTTTAGTAACCAACCACATGTGCCTATTTTTATTATAAAATTTGGGAATCCAGAAGTAAATTTATATCTCTATTAAGCAATCAGTGTTGTAATCATTTACCTTATCTATAAAAGATCTAGATAATCAATGAGAAACCCTCATGCAAAACAGAGGGGGTGGTGACCGGCTAGATCCGGTAAACTTCCTGTGAGAATTTTACATTATGCACCCCAGTCCCGCTCAACCATCATTCCCTCTGTATCTGCCCCTCACCCTTGTAGGGCCAGCCCCCCAGGAAAGCTAAAAGAGAATAAAGATAAACAGCTTTTTAAAAAAGAAAAAACAGTTCACTCCCGGGTCTTTCCCGCCCCTCCACCACCTCTTCATGTGTCCTAATGGTGGTGGAAGTTGCTGAGTCTCGTGCAGTGGACCCTTCTGTGCACACAGCTTCACTTGCAAACGTATCCTGCTGTTGCCCCACGGCATGGAGAGCCTGCCATGGTTCCACGGGATCAGTCTCTTCAAGTATCTGTGGTCCCAGCAGATCACAGATGCAGTAATTATGGTGGTGTGCCGGCGACAGCTGAGTTGGTCGGTCGCACTTCCTGCTTACTCAAGTAATATTATTTCCCTTCTCCGGTCTTCAATGGGGATGCAGGCTAGAGAGTTGTAGTTACTTTCCTCTCATGACTTGGCCAAGTTATTTATTATACAATACTTAATTAGGATAGGATAATTATTGAAACATTTATTACATGTTTCTTGCTTGATACTGTTTGTGCTGGTTGTAATCCTAATTTTTATACCTGATATTTGTTCTTATTGTATATAACTTTGTGTTAGGCTTAGCACTTTCTTATTTAAACAAAAGGGAGAGGTGCTCTGGTAGCCTTTAAGTTACCCACCCACTTAGGTGTGGCCTCTTATACTATATATGCCAACATAAAGCACACAACTGGCCTCTTTCCTGGTTCCCCGTGCGAGCAGAGGATTGTGATCCATGAGTCTACCCCAAAATAAATAACCTTTTATTATACTCAATTCTGAGCTAGTGTGGGATTTCTTCATTACCCTCCTTCTTCAGGTCCAGGCCACTTGGACCGCTCCTCTCAGGAGAAGGGTGGAAAGAACCACCTCTCCCAGGCCTGTGGTGAAGGGTGGGGCGAGCTTCCCCAAGTGTGTGTTGGGCCAGCTGTCCTATTAGGGTCGGGAGCCATTTTTCCCTGTGCCAGGGTCCAGACCTGGGCATCTGCAGTACCAGTTGGTGGTAACCAGAGCTTCAGACAGTAATGCAGACAATAACTGCAGTGGGACCACTGGCCTAGACATGGTCCTCTGCAGTAGTTTGGCCTGGATAATACCATGGCCACAGGGAGCAGTACATGCCACTGAGGTTGTCATGGTCCTGAAAGCAACATGTCCCTCAGACTCCAGCATGGTCACAAGTGGCAGTCCAGACGTCCAGGGTTCTTGTGGCCTTTGGTGGCAGCATGGGCCATGGACATCACCATGGAGTCAGGTTGCCATAGAACCGTGGACCCAGACATGGTCCTCGGCAGCATCCCAGGCCTGGATGCCACCATGACCCCAGGTGGCTGCACGTGCCATTCAAATTGGTATTACCCCAGCTGCAAAATGGCCCTCAGACCACAGCATGGCCCACAGGGCAGCCGAGATTATGGGTATCCGTCCAGTCTTTGATGAGCCATAGATAACAACACAGACCTTGTCCGCAGCAGGGCCACAGACCCAGACATGCCCTTCAGCAGTATCTCAGACTCAGGTGTCCCCATAGCCCCGGGTTGCTACGCAGGGCACTCAGATCTGCATGGCCAGGGTGGCCGCTTGACCCTTGGACACCAACATGGCCTCAGGTTTCAGCCCAGAGCCCAGGTTTCTGCACTGCCTTTGAAGATAGTAGCAGTCACAGACACCAGCACAGTCCCTGGCTGTAGTAGGACTATGGACCCGGAAACGGCTCGCGACTGTAGCGGAGCCTGGACGTCTTCATGGCCCTGGGCAGCCGCGCTGTCATCCCAGCGGCCTCAGGTGCTGTACACCCTGATTTGTATGGCCCTGAAGGCAGTATGACCCTCGGGCACGACCATGGCCTCAGGTGTTAACCCACGCCCCTGGCCGCCTGCACAGCCTTCACTGATAATAGGAGCCACTGTAGACACAGATCCTGGCTGCAATAGGGCGGTGGATCCAGACACGCCCCCAGCGGTAGCTCGGGTGCAGTTTACACCATGGTCACTGGCAGCAGTGCAGGCCACCCGGGAGATCTGGCAAACTTTTGGAGATTAGAAAAACACAATGTCTGAAAGTTGTTTTACCAAATTTTATCTCAACTACTTCTCACTTGCTATTTTTTGGTTTGCTCTGTGTGTGTGTGTGTGTGTGTGTGTGTGTGTGTGTGTGTAATGTGAGTGCATGGGCCTGTGTGCCTTGCTGTGCATGTGGCGGTAGAGGGCGGTAGAGGACACCTTTGCAGAGTCAGGTCTCTCCTTCTGCCTTTACGTGGATTCTGGGATAGAACTCGGGTCATCAGACTTGTGCAGCAAACACCTTTGCTCACCGACATCTCTCTGGTCCCTCACTTAGTTCATTCTTAGCTGTTATGCCTGAAAAACTTTGTGAGACAGTAAACAAATGTGATCCTCTTAAACAGATAAACCACTTGATGAATGTGTTGTTATTACATGGGCATCTGTAGGCCATTCTAGGTTATTTGCCCTGAGTCATTGGACTGTAGATTTGTTTTGTTTTGAGATAAAGTCTCACAGGTTTTACTAGGTAGCCCACAATCGCCTCCAAGTCACAGATATCTGCCTCCTCCTGACTCCCCAGTGCTTTCCAAGTGTGAGCAACCAACCACACCGGGCTGTTTTGTAAAATCTTTCCCTATCTCAACTGGAGTGCCCACTAAGATAAACTTCCTGGCAAGCTCAGAAGTCAGGAACAGGTTTTTACCTATGCATGGGTCAGCAAGCCAGAGAACACCTTAGCAATGGCTTTCAAAGAGTTATTTGTTAATTTTTATTTTTTATTTATTTCATTTTATTCTGTTTTATTGTATCTGGCCTATATGTGACAGACAAAACTTGTTTTATTTTGTTTTGTTTTTGCAAATTAAAGCTACCAATTTATAAGTTAAAACATACATTAATATCATAAGACACACCTTTAAGACAATTTTGGAAGCCAGATAAAGTAGTACTTGCCTGAAATTCTAGGCAAGAAGCAGAGGAATCCAGCCTGAGCTACCTAGTGAATTCAAGGCAAACCTGATCTGCAAAGTAAGTCCATCACTCAAAACAAAAACAACATCCAAAAAAAGATATATTGGTTGCATTTTTAAATAATCAAAAATTATGGTGAAAAGGAAGATGGGCATTTACCCTGCTATCACAGTCAAAAAAAAAAAGTTCACATACAAAAAACAAAGACAAAAAACAAAAAACTCAAGTTCATACCTTCTGACTGAAGGGGGTGTGGAGGTTTGCATGCCCCCCCCCAAACTCATATGTTGAAATGCTTACTCCCAGTTGGTGAACTGTTTGGGAAGGGTGAGGAGGTGTGGCCTTGTTGGGGGAGGTGTGTTGCTGAGGTTGGGATGCTACGGTTGAGGTTTCAGAGGCCTTGCACCAACCCCGGTGCACTTTCTCTCTGCCTCCTGCTTACAGTTGCAGATGTGAGCTCTCAGCTGTTCCTGCCTCCATACCTCAGCTCTGCCTTCATGGACTCTGACCCTCTAAAACTGTAAGCCCAATTAAACATTTTCTCTTACACATTGCCTTGCCATGGGTGTGTTATAAGTCGGAAGAAAAATGACTTACGCAGGGAGGGATATAATTTGTCCTTCACCTTCATAAACTTGTAGCTGAGCTAGAGTCCTATAATAAAAGGCTATTGACTGATGAGAGAAAAGCATCAAGGTTATTCACACGCCCAGGAGAAAAGTCACTGAAGGCAGTGACCTGGAAGGCTGTCTTACGTGGCGTACATTCCAACAAAGGATACACATCAGAGAAGTGACAGGACCCAGGAAGAGTCGTCCCAGACTTCAGAGGTGGGACACTGTGGGAAGGCAAACAATACAGCTGTTGGCAGATCCTCTGGTGCCTTTCTGTCTGAGCTGATGAGCAAACACCGCAAAGCAGGATTTAGATTCAGGCGTCAGGTAGGACAAAGAAGGAGGAAGAGACAAAAAGGCTCTTGGATACTGTGAATCCTTGTTTCTAGGCAAACAGGGAGAAGAGTTCTGCTTTTTCTTTTATTATCTTCAGCTCAGTAATCCTTTATGTAGAAAATAAATATTTTTATTTGGTGCGGGAGAATTGTCTGTATTCTGTCAGTCATGTTTTAAATAAATGCTGATTGACCAGGCAGGAAGTATAGGTGGGTCAACCAGACAGGAAGTGGAGGCGGGGTGATGAGAACAGGAGTAAAACATTCACTAAACTATGAGTCGAAAAAACCATATTCAACAGTATCAAGGCCATATATGAAAAGACAATCATTAGAATTGTGACTGAATCTTTTAGGGTACAAGTCCAGACATGGTTATCTCAACAAACTAGTCTGGACCACCCATCCTAAACATGACGATGGAAAAGACACATAAATAATAGTGAAAAACAGAGAAAGGAGGTTTACTCAATGTGGTCATATTAGAAAAGGGAACAAATAAAGAGCTCCCATGACAGCCCCACGACACGTCCATCGTCAGGACACTGGTATGAGGTCTGGGTTTAAGTAGAAGAGCAGAGGTGTCCCCAGCTGGGCAGTCCTGGACACATGTGTTCCACCCACCATCTACTGACCATTGCCTCTGCTCCAACAAGCTGTCAGGAACTTGAGACGTCTGTCAGGGAGGAGAGTCCCTCCTTGGACTGGCACCAGGACTTCAGCATTTTCTTTTCCCCAGATGAGATTCCCAGAGAAAACTCAAGTCGTTGGGATCCAGTGCTTCAATGATCTGATATCTGAAGTGTCTCTTTTAAACTATCTTCTCGTCTGCAGGCAGGGACATTACCAACCTTAATGCCAAAAGACTGAAATGCTTTCTCTTAACGTCAAGAACAAGACAGGATGTTCTCTTTCACCATCTCTGCTCAATATTGTACCAGAAATCCTAGCCAGGGCAATAAAAGAAAACATAAGGGCACACAAATCAGAAAAGAACCATAGATGGCACAGCAGCCATGGAGAAAACCAAAGAAGCCACAAAAAATCTAGACAGCTAATAATCAAATTCAGTAAAATTATAAGATGTAAGATCAACACAGAAAAATTAGGGTTTCGAAAAACTGTAGTGTGTGTGTTCCCTGCATGCATATATGTCTGTATGTTGTGTGTGTGTGTCCAGTGCCTGAGGAGGCTAGAGAGGGTGTTAGACCCTTTGGGACTGGAATTAAGAATTGTGACAAGAAAAAAAAAAGACCCTTGATAAACCGATAAGTATGTTACAACTTTGAGCCAGGCGGTGGTGGCACAGGCCAAGGCAGAGACAAGCAGATCACTGTGAGTTCAAGGCCAGCCTTGTCTATAAAGGACAGCCAGAACTAATCAATGAAACCCTATCTCAAAAAACAAAACAAAACAAAAAAGAAAAGGTTATGAGTTTTGAAATACACCTATGAGAAAAGCTTGTAAAGCAAAAGGAACGGCTGTGGGAGCCGAACCCGAGTCCTCCGCTCTTAACCGCTGAGCTACTCTCTAGCTCAAGAGCGCTGTATGTTCAGAATGACCAATCGGAAAGGAAGTTATGAAAATAATTATATTGTAACAACCGAAAAGGAGAAGCTAGTTATGTAATAAAATTAACAAGAAGGTGGAAGATTTGTACCCTAAAAACTACAAAAAGTTAGTGAAATTAATCTTTAAGGCTCTACATAAATAGAAAGGCAGACTTGTTTTTTATGATTTAGAAGACTCCGCACATTAAGGTTTTAGGTCTCGTGCACAGTAATCTACAGATTCAGCATAATCCCTACAAAAATCTCAATTATTTCTTTTGTAGAATTGGAAAGGCTGACTAAAGTTCATATTCAATCAAAAAGGAACCTGAACAACCAAAACAAATATTTTTTAAAAAGTTGGAGGACTTACATTTTTGGCTTTATATATATATATATTTGAGAGAGAGAGAGAGAGTTATCACTCCCTAGCTAGAGCCTCCAGTTTAAAAGTGGGAAGAGATTTGAATTGATAATTCTCCAAACATGCTATATAAATAGCTAACAAGAATATGGGGGAAAAATAGTCTACATTATTAGTCATTAGAGAACTTAAAGCTACAATAAAGTAGCATTTCACACCCACAAGAACCACTAAGTTTAGCTAAAAGGGAATAAAGCATTGGTAAGGGCACAGGAAAATTGTTGGTAGGAATGCAAAACCATGTAGGCGCTGTGGGAAACAGGTGGGCAGTCCTTCAACAAGCTAAGCGCAGGCTTTCTGTGAGTCGGTAACTTCCTCCTAGGCACAGAACCCAAAGAACTGAAGCCAGGTGCTCAAGCAAACACGAATGTCCTCAGCAGCCCCATTTAAAACCGTGGAACCAACCCAATGTTGAGTTGGATTCAATGGCTGAGTGGATTAAAAATGTAATATGTTCATACAATAGAAAATTATTCATTAACTACAAAACATTAATGCACGCTATAGTATGCATAATCCCTGAAATAGTTACTGAGGGAAAGGCTTTCCAGGTGTGACCTGTTGGGGAGGAGCGTCCACACCCCTTTAAGTAACCCCTCACCTAGGCTCTATAAGGAAGCCCAATATACTCATTGGTTCCCCAAGACGAACTTCGGTGGGATCATGCAGTGGTTTGTAATTGGGACCTTAGGAGATGGGGTAGGCATTGCTCATGTCCCTCCCTGAGAAGGAATTGTAGAAATAGCTGTAGTCCTATATTTCCAGAAAGACAACTGTTTTCTGTTCAGATTCAGTCATACTCATATAGGGGCCTCACGGGGCCTCTGTGCTTTCAAAACACACTTGCTAACAGCTGGAAAGAGAGGGCTTAGTTCATTAGCAGTGTTAGGAGGAGCTGACACTCAGTTCAAGTCACTGTTACGAATGTGTTGATGTCCATGGGTGTTTCCAATTGCCAGGCATCACGCTGGTTCTTTTTCTTTTTATCATTTATTTATTTATTTACTTATTTTCAAAACAAGGTTTCTCTGTGTAGCCCTGGCTGTCCTGGAATTCTCTCTGTAGACCAGACTGGCCTCAAAGTCAGGTATCTGCCTGCCTCTGCCTCCCAAGTGCTGGGATTAAAGGCATGCACCACAACCACTGACCAGCTCATGCTAATACTTAAATACGTATGTTTTGTTTTGATTGTTTGGTTGGCTTTCTGAGCGCAGGCTGGCATGTTGACCCCTAGTGCTGGGATTTTAGACATTTCCAGTCAGTCCTCTCAGAGCTACTTTTAGATCATCCTTGTCACTCTGTGCCAAGTGTTCTGAGCACTGGGGACACAGTGATGAACAAATCGGGGAAAACGCTCAGTCCTCACGAAGTTTACATGCCTCTGTGGGAGAAAGAAATGCCAGGTAAGGTAGCATTCCTGTAACTGAACATTTAGGAGGCTGAGACAGGAGGATCAGAAGTTCAAGGTCAGAATGGGCTGCACAGGGAGACCCTATCAGAAAATAAAACAACAAACCATTACTGATAATATGGTAGACCCAGACAGGAGCCAAGGAAAAGAGAGCAGGCTAAAGGTATTGGCACTGCATTGCCTGTCACACCTAAGGTCCTTGTGAGAGACAGATCTTCCCGCAGCTCCCAACTGCAGACTTAGGACTAGAAGGAAAGGAGATGGAGGGGGGAGCGAGCACCTGAAGTCACCATAAATGGCTCCCCGAAAGGAAGTCCTACAGTGAGTGAGTGGGGGAGGGGTTTAGCTTGAAATCGGGTCCAACACAGGAACTTCACTAGTTCAAAGGAGCCAGAGTCCAGGGTGAGCACGGCAGGTGGAGACTGGAGATAAATCTAGAAAAGGGTAAAGGTAATGAGGGGGTGGAATCTGGCACCAGCCTCTGGTTCATCCCAGCCACGTGAGGCCAACTCCCAGCTGCTTAGCCGAGGTTAAAAGAAGCAAAGTGCTAGAGAGCAGGGCAAAGAGCAGTTACTGTGAGTCCGGCCAAGTCAGCTAGTTAACTTCTGTTTTAATGGCATGCTCTTCCGAGAATGTGAAAAAGTCAAATCAAAGTCCTTAGAGGCTGTCTTCCTACCCACCGCCCGTGGGTTCCTCACACCCTGTTTTCTCTTCCCTCTTTGTTAGGTGGGAAACAGAAAATGAGATAGCATCTCTGAGGCAAACAGTTGACATCGAGAATCAAAAATAACATTGCATATGCCTTTGACCCAATAATACCTCTTTGAAATCTCGCCTCTTAGAGATAAGCAAATACACAAGCAAACATACAAGTAAGAAATACAGGGCGGGGCTGGGTATGGTGACACAGGCCTGCAATCTAAGCTCAAGAGGCAAAGACAGGGAAATCTGTTGTTTTACCTGTTACAGGGGACAAACTTTAAACCCCTAGTGGCCTGGCAGTTGTGGCCATAGCCTGGGAGAAATTCTGTCTCCCCCCCTCCCCAGATAGTGGCTCTGTTGCTGTCACCAAAGGTAGTTTTAACTAAGTCTCTATAGTTCTAATAAAACGCAAGATTCAAAGGGTAGGGTGAAAAGCTACAAGCTTAAAGAATTAGAACAGAAAGCGGCTTTCTCTTTGCCGACT